TGAGGAGACGATCACCGCACGTGTGCGGGAGCAAGCTGCTGCGTATGTCCTCCATGGGTACTTCATTTCCCGATGCTCATCCTCCATCGGTGCATTTTCAACCACAAATTGGATTGGTACTTGACTTGTGTTTCTAAAATCTTAGTCCTTATTGGAATTTACTCGTATTTGTAGGTCCAAGAGTTAGCACAAAGGGAAGTCGTGCTCGAAGCCACTATCGAGGTCACACTCGAGGTGGCATCTATTCATCCTAAATCCACAAAGGATGATCGATATGGCTTGTGGGTTGAGGTAGATGAAGGTCTAAGGCTAGTGGCCCATGGATCAGCTTCATGAAGGGGGTTCAACCATCCACAATGTGCCTTTGGATCCTAACTTGGTCAAAGTAGTGGTTGAAAAGGTGGTCGACGCCGCGGCTAGTGTCCCTATCCCCACCGAAGAGGTGCAGACAGTGGGCCAAGCCCTTCAGTGCCTTCATTAGTTGGCCCCGACATTTAGTTAGGTCAATCATGGCAAAGGTATGTATATGTATGGTTATAATACATCTAACACATAAATAAATTGATTTATTGTTTATGATTATATTTTGTAAAATATGTAGGATGTTCGGCAGCCAAAACACTTGGGTAAAGCTATTGCCACTCCTTCTGCATCTAAGGAGAAGACACCAGTTGTGGAGACTTCTCCAAATCCCATTTTTGATCTCTTGTCTCTTTCCCCACAATTATATATGCAGTCATTCCAACTTCCATGGGATTGTACATTATTTGGGATGGCTTCTAGCAATATCCCCTCTACATTTCCCACACCGATGCCCTGGAGATTGGGATGGGCAATCAATGTCTAAATATAGCTGCTTTTACAATTTTGGACATCGTAAGTTCATATCTTTCATGACTCTTTTCATTTTAGTAAATATATAAGCTATAAGTTCACTTAAATTGACATATTTTAGGATGATGCACGAAATGATAGTGGAGCAGGGCATTGGTCACGTGTATGGATTCTTCGAGCCTCAATCCATACAAAAGTCTCGAGAATAAGCGTGATCAAATTGTCGGTTACATCCGAATTGGATGACTGTCTCTAAAAGAGATATTTACCTTGGAGCATACCATCATTCGTAAGTTATCCCAGCCTCTTCCTGGTTTTACACAAGTTTTTTTAATAGATTCTAATCATGTGTATATACGTAAACCACTGGCAGTTATTAGTTATTTGTCCAAAGCGAATCTTGTGTGTTGGTTCCGCTCATTGGGAAGAAAACCGGACATGGAGCTAAAAAATATTGTAAACGAGTAAGTATTTATTATATTATGTCTAAACATCTTGATTATTCTATTTCTAATCCCCTTATTTTCAATATATAGTGCTTTAAAGGTTTGTAGTACATTAGATGGAAAACACACAAGTAAAAGCACAGACTCCAAATTGGAATTTTATGAAAGTAAGTAGCCTTTATATATATTATACTATCTATTAATTTACGTTCAAATTTAATAGTTATTTTTAATATATTTACTCATTTTTAGTGTAACAAACAAAATGGAGGCTACGAAGTGCGCTACTATGTAATGTATTGGATGTGGCTCATCATTTTTGGTTGCATTCGGGATAGTTGGGACGAGGTAAGTTGACATTTGCTATTATATTCAATTCCTTTATTTTTATTGCTTAGGGTTTACCGCTCTATTATTGTGAACTTCTTACGTGCATTTAAAGATATAGAACCTTTGCCTATGGATACAATAGACATGGTTAGAAACAAATGGGCGTAAAGGTTTGTGCAAGTAGTTAGGAATAATAGGATTGATTGATAATTTTTGTGTATTATGTACATAATGTGGTTGGACTGAGATTGTAATTGTATTGTGTAAATATATAGTGATTATGTGAATCAGCTGAGATTGTGTATTGTGTATATATTATGTATTGTGTAAATCTGGTCGGATCGAGATTTATATAGCAGGTCGTGTAAGGTAGCACAAAAACGGACCAAAATTTAAAAAAAAATGGATATTCTACGTCGGTTATTGCATTAACCGACGTTGAAACGTCTTTCGCTTGAGCGAAACGCTCGGTCGCTTGAGCGAAACGAAGCACCCGAGCGCCCCCTTTGTTTGAAGGCTTCGTCGCTCAAGCGAGTACACCGGCCGCTTGAGCGATAAAGGACTTTCAACGTCGGTTATCCAATAAGCGACGTAGAATTTACTCATTTCTACGTCGCATTTCCATTAACCGACGTTGTGACGCTCGGCCGCTTGAGCGAAACAAGAACCGAGCGTCCCTTTGGTTTGAAGGCTTCGTCGCTCAAGCGAGTACACGGTCGCTTGAGCGACTTCAACGCTCTGTTATTTCAATAACCGACGTAAATGTCTACCACTTTCAACGTCGGGTATGATGAACCGACGTAGAATCCTTTGACATTCAACGACGCCTGATTCAACGACGTCATTGGAACCGACGTTGAAAGCCTTCTACACCCGACGTTGAATGCTCATTCTGCAGTAGTGATTACTCTTTTTACACCCCTTATTTTTATTTATATCTTTCTCTATCTTGTTGATATTTTATCTCTCTGATTATATTGCTTCTGCTTTATTTTTGTTCAATTTGATAATTAAAATTGAATTAATAAAAATTGTACATCTTAAAATAAATTTTTAATTTGACATCTATTTTAATTTGTGCATCTATTCACCCCTCTAGGTGTCATTTGTCTAACACTCTTTTGGTCATAAATTTTTCTACAAATATTCTTTTTGACTAATTCCTATTTCATTAGATTCCTTATGTTTAGGGCTTCAATTTTCATATATGGAATGTTAATTTTGGAGTTTTTATCTATTTTTTATGATTTTTATAAGTTCAAAACAAAAAAATTTAAGAAATTTTGCTTGAGCAAAATTATTTTTGCTTGAACGAAAATATACCCGAAATCACCTTATTTTCTAGAAAATTTTGCTTAAGCAAAAATTTATTTGATTGAGCTAAAATTTCTTTACTTAAGAAAAAATGTCTTCACTTGAGTGAAAATTCACTCGAGACAAGCCTCGACCAATGAGAGTTTTTTGCTTGAGCAAAAATACATCGGAGAGGAATCATTCTTCTTTTGCACATTTTGCTTGAGTGACCAGCTATCGCTTAAGCGAAATATGTAAAAATAATAAACTTGCAAAACTCGTGCTAAACCACACTCTAAATATCAAACATTGTACTGTGAGACTCTATTTCTATTTTTTTTTAAAATATGTCATATATAGTCTGGTTATAACTATCATACCCTAACATTTTATATCATTAGTCTAAGCCAACTCCTTCAATCATAAGTTAAGATACAACGTAACAAATAAATTTCCTATAAATCAAACAATGTGACAAAGTTACATTCATAATCCAAATCATCGATCCCGGGGTACTAAGAAATTTACTACTAGCTTCCCTTACCTTCCAAACTCTTAAGATTAAAAACTCCAAATCTCCAATGTTTTAGGAAGTCGATTTTGTTAACGAGAAAATCATAATTAACAAATCGAACGTATCATAATGTTTATAAATTAATCAAAATTCATATATACCCTACCAATGTCACATGCAAGACTCAAAGACCCACATACAAAATCTTAACCAAAAATTTGTAAAAATACTTTAAAATCCGAAAAAGAAAAACTTGCTCCATTGAAGATTTTGATGGGATGGAAATGTTTCTCTTATCGATAAAAGCATAATAATGTATTTTAATTTAGAAAAAGATAAGAATTCAATAAGAAAGTTTTAGAGAAAAATAAGAGAATTTAAAATTTAGAGAGATAATGATTATTTAGAAATGAAGTTTGAAAAATAAGAATTTTTTATTTAAGTTATTTTTATGTTGAAAAGTGAATTTGAAGAAATGAAAGAGAAGAGAAAAATAATGAAAAATAGAGTTATTTAGCTCAAAACAAATAAAATAAAAAAGAAAAGAAAAGAAAAGATGAAGAGAAATAAATAAAGAAATAATAATAAAAATAAGATTGATTTGAGTAATTAAAATATTATTTTATTAATTTTAAATATATTGATTTATTATTTTTTTTAAATGTGTTATTATAATAATAAAAAAATAAAAAAATTGAAATATATTCAATTATATCTCTTATTTTTTATACAAATTCTTCGTATATCATGAAGAAGAAAAAATTTATACTTTTTCTATTTTTTTACTTTTTTTGCTTCTGATCCAAAGAAAGCCCTAATGAATATATAAAAACTTACATATTTAAGTATTGATGTACAGTAGGATGTACTCAAATAATTGTTATCTTCTTGAATATTTATTGTATATTGAATTTTAAATTTAGATACATTGGAAAATACCTATTGAAAAAAATTAGTTCTTTAAATAAGTTTCATTGCAAAATATTAATTGAATTAGACAAGTATGAACTGTTGTGTGGCAATGGACTCCGAATTCAAGGGACACTTTCTTTATGATCCCCCACATGCCCACTCTCTATCCCTAGCTACCCCTTCTATTTTCAATTTTCCAACAATCAAACATGTTCTACACGTGAAATTGTTAAAAATTCACAGTTATATTATTAATTTTATTATTATCTATTATAAAAAAGTAATTTGATTCTTGAAGAGTGTGAGAGATATTATTAATTTAATATTTAAAAGAAGAAATAAATCTAATTTAATCTATAAACATGGAATTTTTTTTTGTTTTACTTCTAATATTACGCTAACTTGTCTATTAAGAGTCAAATGTGATCATTTATCCTATTATAAATTATAACTAGTATGTATCCTTGGAGATATTATTGTCTACCTAATCTCATAAATTATTATTTTATTTTAAATAAATAAATTTTAATCCAATTATTACCCAACCCTTTCACCTATCACTCTTTATAAGGTCCACATTCACTGCACCTTTTCTTCACTCTCATCTTTCTTTCTCTTCTTCTTCTTCATCATCAAACATGGCTTCTTCTACATCCATTAACATGGCGATTATGCTGTTGTTAGCCTTCTTTGCGCTCTCTTCGGCCTTGGACATGTCCATTATCTCCTACGACAACACCCACCCAGATAAGGCCACGTGGCGCACCGACGAGGAGGTCATGTCCATGTACGAGGAGTGGCTCGTGAAGCACGGAAAAGTGTACAACGCGCTTGGGGAGAAGGATAAGAGGTTTCAGATCTTCAAGGACAACCTGCGTTTCATCGACGAGCACAGCGCGCTGAACCGAACCTACAGGTTGGGACTGAACCGGTTCGCAGATCTGACCAACGAGGAGTACAGGGCGAGGTACTTGGGAACGAGGATCGACCCAAAGCGGAGGTTGGGAAGGACCCCGAGCAACCGCTACGCGCCACGTGTCGGAGACAAACTACCAGATTTCGTTGATTGGAGGAAGAAAGGTGCAGTTGTCCCAGTCAAAGACCAAGGAGGCTGCGGTAAGCACTGTGCCACTCTCTCTTGTGACTTATCTCTTCCGCTTTACTTCTCCCCCCCCCCCCCCCCTTCTCTTTTTTCAACTAAAAAAAAGTTTAATTCTTTACTTGTTTTTTGAATTAATCATCTCGATTGGTATTTAATCTCTGTTTGTACAAGTAATTTTTCTTTACTTTATTGAAGTAGATCAATTAGTACCAAATTATATTTTAGTCAATGGCTTGAGTGCATTTCTTCTGTCATGGTTTTTCCTTAACTCACTCGATCCTGAATCAAATACTTATACTAATCGTAGTCCTGCTATTGTTGTTGGACTGATCGTAGTACTATGATTGTCTTGATCGTGTTGACCAGATCATAGTCTGCTTCCAGTGCTAATAGTGTCGCTACCCTGAAGAATTTTTGCATATGGGATTGAAATCCTTCAGCAAAAGTGATTTTATAGAATTGTTTTATGAAAAAATATAGCAATAACAAGGATTGTTCTTTGTTTAACCTTTGTCCTTGAGTTCGAATTCTTATATTCAGAATGTGATTCCAAAAAAATAATTTTGTGTCAGTAGTTGTTAGTGATTTTGGATGTTTATATGCGATTTATTGTTTGATTGTCTACCTGATCTATTACTGTGTGTTAAAAATTTCTAAGGTGACAAAATATGATAGTTTTTTTTTATTGAAAAAGAATAAGTTACAACTTTCTGCTCTTTTTTTTTTTAAATTAATAATTATTGGTATCTTTTTGTGGTCACCTCTGATTGATTGCTTTGCTGTTGGTTCAACATCCACCCGATATTTTGATTAATATCTGGAATGAAAATCTCTAAAGAATAAATTCAATATTTATTAGGTTTGACGCTTCAGTGCAAGGTTTTAATTTGAGACCCATCCTACCCTCTTGTTCCCGGGGTCACATTACAAAAGTAGCATGATGAACCCTGACATGTGACAATAGCTTGATCTGTTAGAATGGTTTGTGCCTATCTGCACCTTAGGCGTCAGGACCATGAATACTTAACCTACCAATACCATACCATCTTTTTACCTTTTGCTGTCTAAGAATAATAAATATTCTTTATTTTTTAACCTGATTAAGCAAGTAATAATATATATAAAATAAAGAAGTTACTTTAGCCCAAGGATGAAGTGAATCTTGAATTATAGCAGAGTAAGGAGCAAGCTAGTGCTTCAGTTTTTGTAGTTGGATTCTTACAAATGAGTTTCTGGCAGTGATCTTTGTCTTAACGAATATAATTTTTTTAGCAAAGGTGGCTTAGTTTAGATTTGTTTAATGACTAAATTTTTGTGAATGTAGGGAGCTGTTGGGCATTCTCAGCAATTGGTGCAGTGGAAGGAATTAATAAGATTGTGACTGGCGACCTGATTTCATTATCAGAACAAGAATTGGTGGATTGTGATACAGGATATAACATGGGTTGCAATGGAGGGCTTATGGACTATGCATTTGAGTTCATCATCAACAATGGAGGCATTGATTCTGAGGAGGATTACCCTTACCGTGGTGTTGATGGTAGATGTGACCAGATTAGGGTTAGTAAATTGATCCTATTTTTTATGAAAATAAGTGCTTCTAATAGGTAGTTATTAGTCAAATTCTTATGTTCATTTCTTTTGTTTGTTATTTTGCTGATGTGCAGAAAAATGCTAAAGTTGTTGTTATTGATGGTTACGAAGATGTGAATGCCTATGACGAGTTAGCCTTGAAAAAGGCAGTTGCAAATCAGCCTGTGAGCGTAGCTGTTGAAGGAGGAGGCAGGGAATTTCAATTATATTCATCTGTAAGTTTTTATTTTCATTTTATTCATAAACTAGGAATGATAGGTGTGCCTATCGTATAGCAGAAGTGGAATGGGATGATCCAAAATTATAAGATCACCAGTGAACAATCCATTGCTAACTTCTTATATATCACATTTGAGGGGTATTTCACCCCCTAACCATGAGTTGAGAGCACCTGAATGCGATTGTGCAAAAGTAAATTATGTTTTGAATGCTTCAACTCAAAATCAAGTTTGGAACTACAAGCCATTTTTGAGTCCAAGTTAAAAAAATGTAGTTTTTGTGTATGTTAAAGTTATTACAAACTTGTTTTTGATAAAAACATAAAAAGTTTCTTAACATAAATTTTACTCACCCAAATGTATGGACGGCAAAACGGGTCAGGCCCGGTAGGCCGACCCGCCATCCCGCCATAATATGGCGGGGCGGGTTAGTATTTTTAGCCCGTCAGCCTGTCCCGCCAACTCGTCATTATCTCACTACTAAGAGAATTAAAATTTGTTATTGTTACATATATGTATTTATTATTATATAAATTTTATCTTAATTTAATTGTTCTAAAATATAATTTATTTAATTTATATTATTAACTTGAAATATATATATATATATATATATATATATTGAATGATTGACAATGAAAATTTTATTATTAAATTTATTAAAAGATTTGATTTTAAAATAATAAAAAAATAAAATAAGAAATATGAAAGACTAACTCGCCGGTCCCATCAAGCCGAGACCGTAGTCGCCATGACTATATTGCTAGTCCGCCATGACTATATTGGGCTAGTCCGCCATGACTATATTGGGCTAGTCCGCCCCTTCTCTCCTCACTTTTGGTGGGCCAAAGGCGAGGCGGGCCAAAACAGACGTGGTGACCCGTTTTGCCATTCCTACCCAAATGAGTTATCATTCTTATTTTTTCATTTATTCTCATTGTTAATAGAAACCAATATACCCAAATGTTCATCAATGAATCATGTATGGGGGCAAGTGGTTTTGCACTGGCTAATTGGTTATCCTTCAAGTCATTCTCTACAACATATTTACAACATATTTACTCTATGTTGACATAATTTTCTAATTAGTATATTTCATCTTTTGTCAGGGTGTTTTCTCTGGAAGATGTGGGACTGCACTGGATCATGGTGTTGTGGCTGTTGGGTATGGTACAGAAAATGGTCATGATTATTGGATTGTGAGGAATTCATGGGGTGATAGCTGGGGAGAGGCAGGGTACATCAGATTGGAAAGAAATCTGGCTAACAGTAGATCAGGAAAGTGTGGAATTGCAGTAGAGCCATCTTATCCCGTTAAGAGTGGTCCAAACCCACCCAATCCTGGACCATCACCCCCTTCACCCGTGAAGCCACCAAATGTTTGTGACAATTACTACAGCTGTTCTGATTCTGCCACTTGTTGCTGCATTTTTGAGTTTGGAAACTCTTGCTTCGAGTGGGGTTGCTGTCCTCTTGAAGGTGCTACCTGCTGTGATGACCATTACAGCTGCTGCCCCCATGACTATCCCATCTGCAACACTTACGCTGGAACTTGTCTCAGGGTATGACTAAGATCTAATGTTTTCCTATCCGCTTGAATTTTAAACTGAATTTTCATATTGAATTAACTGTTTATACTAATTTGGATTTTGGTGGATGATAGTTCATACTTGATCATTATAGAGAGCATATAACACTTAAGGGTCTGTTTAAAATAAATTTAGTTGTTGAAGTTTATTTCATTTATTCTTAAATTTTCCTACATACATGTTTATGAAAATGTTTATGCAATATTGTTCTTGCACCACTTGAGGTTTGTTCAGATTGCATTACCTGTGGCATATTGAGACTGCATCATTTGAGATTTATTGGGATTGCATCTGATATGTTTTTTTTACTGTTAATTACAACTTCATTACACTATTTAATGTGACTCTTGGACAATAGAAGGGTTTGGTTTCATGGATAAGAATTAAGGAGTGGCACTATGACATTTTCAAATAATTAAAGGAGTTAGTGCAAGAATAAAGAATAGAGAGTTATCAAGAGAAAGTTGATGAAACCTCAAAGAGTATGTGTTTATGTAATTTACTCATTGTTTTCTCCTTTACTCATCTGAATTTTCTGTGAATCACAGAGCAAGAACAACCCATTTGGAGTGAAGGCATTGAGGCGAACTCCAGCCAAACCTCATGGTGCCTTTGAAGGTAACAAGGTCAGCAAGGCTTAAGCTGTTAAGGGGAATGTGGTCGTGCAGAAGGAGCCAATGATGAAGTAAAGGAAAGAAGAAGAATAAAACACCAACTGATACACTTCCTCCTTTATTTTCACATAATATTGCACGAATCATGGAAATCTGTGTCATTTTATTATGATACACAAAGACTTATCCTGTACCAAATTTCAGTCAGACATTGGCTGTGTACATAGGGCCATATCATTTATGCACACTATTTATATTCAAGCTCCAAATGGCAAACATATTTGATTGCTCTTAGCTTTCAAGTGCTGTAGATTATGTGACAATGAAACAATATTTGGATTTATCCCATATTTAAGTGATATCTATCTTATCTTATTTACATCACCCTGCAGCTTGCTTTGTTGCGTTCTGTTTAATTTTAGTTGCTATTTTGTGATAGGATATTTTGGTTCATGGGAATGATACTACTTTTGAATATGTGGACTAAAGCCATAACGAAGGAACTCAAACATCCTTTTAATAGATCTGTACAATCATAACTAAGAATTTGAGCATAAAAAAATCTTTTAACAGATAGTTGAAGACTTTAAAAGATTCTTGCATCAAGAAATTTGTAAAAATACAAGGTAAAATTATTGATGTATCTTTAGCTAATAATTTGATTTTTTAGTCAATTTACGTTTTTTAGTTGGTCAAGTTATCTTTTCCTTGTAAACTAAATATTAATCTCTCTAAATATAAAAGTTTATTTAACTAAAATATTATTTTCAACAAATTTATAGACATAAATTTGGAGAATATATATTTAAAAGAAGTGATTATCTCCTAACCAATATCTATTATTATACTAGTAAGATAGAGATTGAAAACTAATGAAAATAGTTAGTTTATGAGACTTGTCAATGTCTATTGGAAAATATATATTTTTTTGTTTCCTTTATTTTATTTTTTTTCAAATTATCAATTATTGCCTTGTTGCTACCCTTTTCCAATTATTAAGAGGCAAAAATATCATTCATCCAACAACTTGGTCATGGGGTGTTAAAACAACATCAACTTCTTTTCACACGACAAAGAAAGATGAGATGTAATGCAGAAATGAAAATATGGAATGAAGTAGTAGCAGATTATATCAGCATCACATTTATATTTAGCCTTAATGTGCAAAAGGGAAAGTAGTCGGCCACAAGCATTCCACCTGTATATGTATACTCTTTGTCGTAAAGAAATATTATCATCTCTGTCATGAACACCAATTATTACCATCTAACTTGTGAATATGGAGATTTTCAATGAACTTTGACATAACAAACAACATGGTGTTCTAAACAGTGTGTTGATAAGACTCTTTTTTCAGTTAGCTTTCTTATATCTGTTTCGGTGTATTAATGAGTATCACATCGATACGAGAGATGAAATGAGACAGTTTATATATATTTTTTATCATTCCATCAAATTTTCTTTTAAAATAAATTTGTAACGATAATCTTTGAAATTTGTATACGTTTTATTTAGTCTAATTAAGTATTAAATTATATTATCAGCCAATTTTAAAAAAATTATATTCTTTTACTATAAAAATACTTTAAGTAATTAAAATATAAAAAAATCTAACTAAATATACCAATTTTTTTAAAATCCAGAAACTAAAAAAATGATGGACCTGATTTTAAGATATTTCAAACAAAAGTCTCTAAGAAAATAAAAATGAAAAAAATAAAAATAAAAATAAAACTAAGCGAATTGAAAACGAGTTATACCTTTCTTCTTCGCAAAAACTTGATCAAACCTGAAAATTCAGAGTGTAGTTTGAGTCTTCAATTGATTGACATAAAAAGAAGTGGTAGGTGAAAGAAGCGTTTTATTCAGATCGCACAGGTGGAGAGCGATGGAATATCTAGGGATTGATCTAAGCTGTGCCGTGGGATCGCTCCGCCACGGCCACTTCCCGGAGAAGGATTGCTTGCTCCCTCTCATTTCTAAACTCCTCGGCTACGCCATCGTTGCCGCCTCCACCACCGTCAAACTTCCTCAGGCACTAATCGTTAACCGTTTCATTATTAGTTTCTTCGATTCACATGTTCCGTTTTTTGCTACCAAATACTACTACTGCGTTAGCGTTAGGGTTAGAGTTTTGTTGGATAAATGTTGTTCTAAGCATGTTAACCTCTTTTAGCTTATAAGTAATTTAACGAGGTTTTACAATTCGGAAGCATCGTGTTCGTGACGCTATTATCGTGTTGATGTTCAGATTTTGAAAATTCTGAAGCATCAGAGTGTGAGAGGCCTTAGCATGATATCCTTTGAGCTCGAAGTTGTCGGATACACCATCGCTTTGGCTTACTGTCTCTACAAAGGCCTTCCGTTCTCCGCTTACGGAGAGTTGTTGTTTCTTTTGATCCAAGGTCTGCTAACAGTTTTTTCTTATTTTTTTTTTCTCTGTATGTTCTTTGTGCAGAAATCCTATGTAGTGTGAAATTGTCTTGTGTGAATTGTGCCAAATTATGGTGTGTTGGTTTAGAGAGTAACAGACTTATGCAATGGCGTTTAGAGTTTGACATGAAAAACAAGCAGTGGATAAATATAAGAGGACTGCTAGCAACACGTTCTTTCCAACTCACTTCACCATTGGTTGATATTTATGGAAAATACAAAATCAGAAGATAAACTCATTAAATGTGAAGTGAAACCCATTAAAATTTGATTTTCAATATATTAGTGTATTGCCAATCTGGTTTCCTCTCCTTTTGGTCCTGTGCCTGTCCTGTTTTTTAAATTGCACTCTTTTTATTAAAATAATAATTAATCTAAATTACACTTTTAATATTTTCAAATAATAAAAATAATATAGTTTGGAGGGACAGGAAATGCACGGAACCAAAATCAGTAAACAATCAAATTTTGTGTTATTTTGGGATTGTGTTCTTCATCATACCTCCATTCAATGATCATATTATGTCATACTCTTTTGAGTGGTCATGGCTGGATTTGTGGGTGCTTGTGCTCAATTCTGGCCTATAAACTAGATTTTTTTGGTAATGTATGCAGATTTCTGCGTGCTTGTTTCTTGAGTCCAATTGCCAACATAAGGACTGAATTGTGATATTGTTTATCAACTGTCATCTTGGCAAGTTAAAGTAAAATACTGTTGTCCATAGGCTACACCATTGAGTTTTGTTTTGTCAAACAGATTTCTTTTAGACGCTACTCCCTTCTATAACTACAATTGCATAAGCTTGGCAGCATTTGATACTCGTAAATATGCACTTTTACAAGTTTCACTATTTGAGTCTAACCGGACCTGGGATTAAACAAAACAATCATGTTAGTTCCAAAAATATGTAATTTACCCTCATTTTGTGATGCAGGACCAGTAAGGAAAGAAAAAGTAGCTGGGTTATGTTTGTAACTCTAGATATTTTTATTTTTGCAGTTTCTGGTCTGAGTTATTAATATCAAGGATTACATTAGTTGTCCCTAGAAAGTTATGTTTTAATAATTGTAATTTGGAATTCGTAATAGATGTAGGCTGGAAGATCACATAATATGAAAGGCCTTAGTTTGGTACCATAAAGCTAAAGTTGCCTTTGTCTGGATATCTTTTTCTTAAATATTAAATACAAAATCATTTTGAACTTTTTCTTTCTTGGTTTGCTACACCTCCAATGATTACATTTCAATATTTCTTCTCAAACTTTCTCTATTGCCTTTTGTAGAATACTATCTAGACCTCTTTGTCGTACATGATTTTGTTCACGATTTTGAGTAATTCTACACACTAATATATGGTGTTCTTAAAGTAGTACTTGCACAGGTATCATAGACTTTATATCATGCAAGTTGTACTGATTTATCTTTTGTTGGATAAAGCTATGTTGTTCTTTATTTTCTTGAAGTTATCTAACTGCTTCTTCCTCTCTATTTTTTGATACAGCTGTAATATTGGTTGCCATAATCTACTACTATTCTCGACCTCTGAATACAATAACATGGATCCGGGCATTGCTGTATCCTACTTGCTTGCTGAAGAACTAACTTTTTTTTCGTGTGTTATGTAATAATACAATTGACTATCATTCATCATTTCCTTGATGCTTTGGTTTTCAGATATTGTGCTGTAGCACCAACTATTTTAGCTGGTCAAATTGATCCTTTCCTCTTTGAAGCTCTGTATGTGAGTAACAAATTAATGTTGAACATAGATTTACTTATGATGCTTGAGGAAAATTTGCTTAATTTGAATCTTCCATGAACCAACTATCCCAAAAGTTTAAGCTGTTAGATGAAAACATATGAAATTTTTATTATTTCAAACTTGACCCCAAATGCAAGAGTCCTTTGGGCTTGAAGCACGGGCAAGGCATCTACCTACCTGGTGCTAAACCTTTTTTATTAAAAGAATGAGGATGACATGGATTTTAACTCTAGAGCACTTGGTTGTAGAGGCTTTGATAATGTGTCATGAATGAAGTATTCTTAAAGCTTTAGTTGTTAGCTGAAGATAGAAAAATGTTTTTATATTTACTTCTAACATACTTGTTTTTATTGAGCATTTTAGCCTTTATTTTGTACTATGTCAGTTACAAGGTTCTCATCACTTAATATTTCTTGAATTGAGATGTGGATATGATCTTTTGCAGGCATCCCAGCATGCAATTTTTCTCTTTGCCCGGATCCCACAAATATGGCAAAACTTCTCTGTAAGTGGAAATATATTGCCTGTTCTGTCTTCCTGCTAAATTGGACAAAAATACGTAGTTCTCATGAAATTTATAAAATTATTTTTTACAAGTACTTGCATTCAATACAATATTTGATTCTCCAGTCAGAATGGCTACTTATTTTCTCTTTTGTAACGAATAAATAGCTTCTTTCACTCTATGCTGCATGATGGCTTACTTGAGACTAATACATGAAAGAAACTTTGTTTCCGAGTATGCTGTAATTGCCATCGTGCCTGCATTTTTAATAGACTGCTTGTGTGTAATGAAAGCTAGGATGCTTTCAACTCTGTTGATGTGATTATACTGAATTTTTTCATATTATGCTTCTAGATTCTTTATAGTTGTTTTTTTTTTGTCGACAATTTTTTTATTTGAGGAACTATGTTGACTCTTTGTTTCACCATCCTTATTATTCATTGATAACTTACTATATTTGAGCAGAATAAAAGTACTGGGGAACTCAGCTTCTTAACTTCTTTTATGAATTTTGGTGGTTCAATGGGTAAGCCATTATGACTTCAATAAAGTTTTGATTAAAGTTTCCGTTTGTTTGAAGACTAACATTTTTTTTATTTGTTGCAGTTAGAGTATTCACAACTATCCAAGAAAAGGCACCAAATAGTGGTAGGTTACTTCTTAATTTGTTTTCATCTTCATAGAGTTTAGTTATTGCCATCATTGTCAATGAATGTTAACTTAGGTTTTGGGTGCTAAAAATAATGTTTATTTGTTTTACTTTTGAGAATCTTAGTGCTGTTTGGTTGAACAAAATGTTTTTTACCTTCATTTTTTGGTTTCACAAATAATCACAATATGTTACTTTGCTTTCATGGTTTTGAATGCAAATCTTAAAAAGAGTAAAAAATGGCATTTTTTTATTAATTGTAAAAATTTGAAAAATAGAAAAGTTGCTCAAAGCCAAATAATCCCTTTGGATTTAGGACCTGTTCTATTTCTGATTTTAGAAAAAAAAAATTGTTTTAAAAACCGAAACATGTTTGCATTTTATAAGATGTCTATCTCAAAATTTGACAACAGAAAATTGGAACAATATGAAGATATTTTCAAATTTTGACATTGGCAATAGAGAAAGATGGTATATGTTATTAAGTGGTCCACATCAAAGCAAGTATTTAAATATTGTGTTTTTTAAGAGTTAGTTCAAAAAACATCTCCCGTATGTGTATTTTCCCCCCTTATATGAAATTGTTCTTAATTTTGCTTTTGAAAATAAGAGATATAAACAATTAAATTACCGTTTGTAGCTAAAGACTACATAGAATTGAGTGCTAGGATTTCAATCTTCTTTCTTAGAAATATGGACACTGTTATTTTCAAAGAAAGACTACAATTATGTTAAAAATTATGGTTCTTTGTACAAGAAATTGAGGATCCCTGTGCAAGACAATACATTAATTTTCCTAAGGATGATAGCACATCATAATATATTATATGAAGTACATATAGTACACAGGTCTCTTGGTTGATCTATTGAATAAGAAGGGAAGAGCTCTCGAGAACTCGAGCACTCTATATAGACTTGCTTTTCTTAAGCCTTAAGGAGCAGTAGATTCAAATTCCATGTTTTAAATCTTGTATATACTAGTGTAAATGTTGTCTTGTGATGTAGAGTCCTACTACTGCAAAAAAATTGTGACTTTTTTTTTTAAATAAGTTGTTAATATTGAAGCCACCTACGAATTGTTTCCATTATTTTGTATATGAAATCGAACATAGTTTTCTTCTAAAAATCATGTCTTCCATCTCCTTGACTTGATACAAACAAAATTCTACGTCCATTTCAAAGTGATTGACTATTTTTGTGTCTGTATAGCAGTGTCCCCGAGTTTAAATTTATTTCTTTACTATTTCCTATTATTGTAACTTTTTCCTTGATTCTTTTGAAGTTCTCTTGGGCTATGTAATTGGTGTCGCTACAAATTTTACCATCCTAAGTCAGATAGTAGTATACCAAAAACCCCAGGTTGAAAAGGAGAAGAAAACGAAGTAATAAAACCGCATCGAGTTGTGTATATCATCATGGCCAACAGCAGGTGCCACTACATCGTATCCACCTGCAGAATTTGGTCACACTCTTCAATCGACTCATATATCTTTTAAGTTTCAATTGCTGATAGGAGGACCATATTAACCAGCAGTTCCAAAGTAATAGGTGATTATTATCTTTTATTTTGGATCCTGAGATTCTCTGGCTAAACTTTTTATCAAGGTAAAATTTAAAGGATGCGTCCAGATTCTTTTGTAAGAAACTTTTATCATGATTGTTAGACTTAGTTCTACCTTTTATAATCATAAAATGTTAAGTAAGAATCACTTCATGATTGTGTAAAGCTTAGTTCTACCTTTTTTCTAATGATGAAATGTTTGCGTAAAACAAAACCGTCAATGGTTTCTCACCCAGGTCTTAATGTACGACGTTAATTTGCCTTTGAGATTTCATCTTACTCGAGTATTAGAAGATCTTCGGTTGAAGTATCTTCCAAATTGCATGGGTCAAATCGCCTTGAGAGTTGCCATTTACTGGTTTCTTTCATGAGTGCAGCGTTAGCACGCACTTTTTAAAATTTTCTCATTAACCTTATATCACCATTTATATTCTGAATTTTTTGTGGATGTTTTAATTCCGAGCCAATCTATCTGAAAGATAGTGCAATGTAACTTTTCCTCATCTATGCATGTGGTTGTATTTTAAATGTTTTTTAATAAATTAATGAAATATTTTGTCTTTGTTTAACAAGCTTTTTCAAAAATAAGTAATTTAAAGTTTGTTTTAAGATGCAAATAGGCTTGGATAAATTTGAAATTAATATTTCTAAAATAAGAAATATTAAAGAAATCACTTAGTTTAACATATATGATTTGTTTAATAAAAAAATAGAAAACTAATTTTAATACTAAAAAGATTATACTAATACATATAAAAGGATAAATATGTTTATTTTTTTAAAACACTTTTTAAAATGAATAAGCACAAATAAATTATCATATCTATTTTTTAAATAAGTGTTTTAAAAAATATATGCTTTAAAAATACTTGTTTTATGTTTAAACAAATAGTTTAAGAAATTATTATTGATTAGGTTCATAGTACCCAACGAACTCAGAATAAACCAAGACCATCAAACCCATATAATCTTGCTCTCCCTTAGAGCATATTTTATGGAATTGTTTTAATATGTATTCATTTTTTTAACTTATATTTGATAAATTTAAAGAAAGTTAACAATGTAAATCATTCTTTTCAATTTTAAATAAAATTTATATTAAAACGAATATTTTATTGATAAATACCTCTCATAAACAGTGCCGTACTTTTATAAAAAAACATCCTTATAAGTGGAAAGGGTGTCACGTTAACACTTATGTTTATTATTACGTAATATCACATCAAAACGTTTTTATTGAGAGCGTGCACTTAATTTAGGTCCTACAAATAGTTATTTGTAATATAAATTACAGTATACAAAGAGTTATTGTTGTATATTACGTAAAAGGTACACAAATTTATTATAGTGGACTTATTCAAAACATTAAAATTAAAAAAATATAAAACATTTGACAGAAATCAGTCATTCACTCATTCGTGTGTTTTAAGCGAAAATATTTCGTAAAAAGATAACATTTTTGTTATGCTAGTTGTGGTAATTCCACTAACTACGGATGAAAAAGACTTCACTATTAAAGAAAATTATTGGTCTCACTCGATAATGACCATGTAAAAGAATTTTGAACGGTGCTTGCTGTTAACTTTTACCCAACATAACCGATCAGTAACTTAATTCAAATATTGATTTTAAAGCATCAATGATTTTATGCTTGAAATAGGACGAAAAAGACATTTAACATTATTGGAACACGTTAGACGTGGACAACCAAACTTTAGAATCTCTATAATAAATATATTCTTTTAAATGCACTGTTTTTATCAACAAAAAAATTATTAAAACTCATAAAATTGTGTAGCATAGTATGTCATGAATACATCTATGTTAGAAATATTAAGAGTCAACATATAACAATATATGGTAATCATATATTAAGTGAAGAAAAAGAAATGTAAATATAATTAACATTAAGCTCAAGGGGTCATGCAATTAAGACTTTTTCAAATTTTAAACCCTCCTTCGATCTTATAATGCATTTTGAATTAGTCTTCTAAAAATTTGAAATATCCTTTTTGGAATGAATTTTTGAAAAAGTCAATGAAAAAAATATATTTCGAATGTGGTATTCTATAATGTGTTTTCAGATAGTTTAACTTCATTTTCGTGACACTATTTTATATTGAACAATTTATGTTTATAATTTGAGTGTAAAACATGTAATTCATACGTAACATGATTATTTATCTTTAATTATTAAAAAAATCCATCAAAGAAGGTGATATTAAAAAAAAAAAAAATCAACGAATGGAGACGTAGAAGTTGTATATAAATAAAAAAGAAGCAAAGGTAAAAAATAAAATTATAAAAATAATATTTTAGGTATTTGATTTGAGATATGGAGATATAATCAGAAATTATGAAGGTGAGGAAGCAAAAGCCAATTTTAAATGAATGGTTTTACGTTTTAACAATGGAACGATACAACTTGTCAGCTTCTTATGCATTTTTTATTTTTTATTTTTTTTAAGTTTTACCCTACTTATCAAGGTAAAACTTCAATATTAATTGGAAAATAGTACGAGAAGCTATCGAAGAAATATTATCATAAGCTTCTTATAAATTTGCCTAATTTAGTACGAATTCATTATTGAGGGTTATGATAAGACTGCTCGGTTACACGAACCGCTTTAACAAATTAGTTCTGAACCGGTTGTGAATGGACTAATTTTAAAACCGAACTCGTCAAACTAAATTTAAACACTGGATTTGTTTCATAAAAACAGTTTTTCAAACCTTTTTTTTCTTTTTTTTTAAGGTTTGGAATAAGTTATAACACATAGAAACATACTAAAATTGGCTTTAGAAATGCATGCTAATTTACCCGAGAAAGTAATGAATTTGATAACATCATTGATACGAATCAAAGCAGTTTAAGAATATCCAGGAAAACATTATTTGAAATTGCTTTGGTGCACCAATCTACTATGATGCAAAAACAATTCAATTATCCGTGTACCAAACTATTTTAATAAAATAGGTTCAGTTTAAGCTGGTGAAATTTGATTCTGTTAATTCGGTTCAGTTTCTTTTTTCCACACAATATTTACGGTATAGTAGATTTATAGGAATTACATCCATTTAGAATGAAAGGACTTATGAATGAAGAAAACGATTGGCCTCACTAAATAATGGCAATAAAAAAGAGAATCGCAAAGTGTCGCATGGAGTTGACTTTCTTCAATTTTACGAGCCATAAACTTGTATTTCGTCTGAACGAGTCAGTGATTAAATAAATGCTTGAAAATAGAGAATGGGATTTGACATTATTGTAGCACAGTACCAACTTTTGGTAAAGCGACAAAGGCCTCTAACTTCTTTTCTGGTGCTGTCGTATGTTAAGGACAGAAGCCATATGATTCAGGGTTGAACATGATTTGTCGTTGAGCATCACTTTTTTTTTTTTTTCTTTTTTCACTGAAATTAAACACGACTCGTTTGGTTTTGTATAAGCTATAAACCGTGTAGTTATCAATTTTCTAGTTTGAAACGAGAAAGTTCATCAACTGTTCTGAAACATTATTGACCAAACCAGTTCACAATCTAATTTGTGTAAATATGCTTAATTGCAAATGGTAATGACTTTCACAAAGCACTTCTGAAAAATGATATGTTCTGCCCTTTGCAAGAATTCCTTGTTCAAGAGTGACATCCAAACAACTAAGAGAATATTTATTTTTTACTTTTAAGTAACAAGTAAATCTAGGCACATTGATGCACCTAACATAAATAGGGTGCTGTATTTGGCACACTTGTATGAATCACAGTCTGTAGAAGAATTTATGATGGAAATGTTTAAAGAATGCTCAAGTTTGAATCATTGTCAGGAAAATTCAAAAAGTATTGGAATGCTCAATTTTATATAAAGAGAGGGGAAATATTTTGCCAGAGAAGAATGGTAACAAAATGCACACGACAAACATGAGTGAATTAAGACCTTGCAAATCAAAGAAGCTCTTGAAACATAAATAAAACCTCGCAACATATAGAGCCCAATAGATGCTTTAGTAACCCTACACTGTGTACATGAGATCAGGCCCTCTAGAGATTTTTAACCTCAAACATCATTAATTTTATCAAATGAAGTGGCTATGAACAATTCACAGGAAAAGTTCAGAGGAAGACGAGGTACATCAAACAATAAGCAATTCATTATATTATTTGAAATCAATATGTATCATTTTCCTTTGTCTTCCCAAGCGACAATTGGGATGCAAATAAAAGGTCACCTGCGTGCTGCCAAAGAAATCAAATAATGTCAAACACATGCAGAAGTCTTGGATATATCGACAAGGCCGAATACATTCGGTTGCACCACCAAAAGGCTAAACAAATGTCAAAAGCAAAATTTAAAAACCTAAATACAAGAAGAGCATTTTCTACATGCTAGCTACCATTGTAGTCATCCAGTATATGAACAGAAAACGAAGCATATCTTCTGCCATCCACTATTAAACATCTGAGAAAAAAAAAAAGTTTGCGAAGAAGAAACACCAATCATAATCAGTTAATAACATAATAGCCTGTCCTCCCCATGCTCCAGGAAACTATACCATACCAGCTAACATGCCACAGTTTCCAATTCAAAATCCAAGTCCAGGAATCTAGGTTGAGTTGACCCAATTCTGTGGTATGCTAGGGTGTATGAATATGAATCAGACAGAATCCAATACAGAAATAGTGTTTCAGAAGATAAAAACAAACAAACAAATGAGTAAGATTTTTATAATTCTAGGTTTTTAATAGCTTGTATGTAGTAATAATATGGATCTTATGATATGCTCTGAATGAGAATGAGGACCCATAATTGAGTTTTCGAATCAAAGTGGAACACCATAGATGATTGCAGAGAGAAAGAAAAAAAAAAATGTGACCGTCACTTCAACCGTGAAGCTTCAATTCCAAAAGCCAATAAACATCACAAGGCATAAATTTCAAATTTAAGAACAGGACACATAAAAATCAAATGATACAGAACAAAACAATGAAAGTGGTCAAAGACTAAGGTTTGCTTTGGTCCTGTCCCTAACTATGGCGTGCACTAGTGCTACCACCAGACCATCTCCTCAAAGTGCTAGCCACTAAGCTCCTCCCAGATAACAGCCCTAACCTTGACTTGAAGGAACTAGACCGGGCAGTGCTGGCCGATGCTGATGCTGCTGCCGCTGCAATTTGGGCAGGCATTTGAGGAAACTCTAAACCATTTTCCTGCGCCCCTCCATCACTAGCACTAGCTTCCTGAAGTTCTGCCTCACCAGTATCTAAATTAACAGCAACTGACCCCCTAGTCCTCCTCAACCAATCCCCACCCTCAGGGGTAACCCCCTTACACTTCTTAACCTTCACTTTCACCAAATTGGGACACCCATTCGCCAATGCCTCCATCCCTTGATCAGAAACAGGACAACTCTTGATACAAAGTTTCTTCAAAGCCACACACTTAGCAGCAATACAAGATATCTCGGGATCACCAACCGAATCACTTCCACACAAAGCCAACCGTTCAAGATTCTGGCAATTAGATGCCAACATTTCCAAACTCGCCTTGGTAGGGTTAACCCCAATTAGTACTAATTCAAGCAAATTAGGGCAACCTTTAGCAACACCTATCAACCCCTCATCGCCAATTCGATTAGCCTTCCATCCATCAATGTGAAGCTTCCGCAAAAGCTTGCATCTATCACCAATAGCAACAAGTCCAATATCAGAACATTCAGGTGTCTTAACAAGATGCAAAATCTCCAAACTCGAGTAATTCGCGATTGCTTGCAATCCAGTGTCCGTAATCTGAAGCCTCTCGAGGTGAACCTCAACCATGCTAGTGATTCGATCTGCCATTAATTGAAAGAGCCGGTCCCAATCGCCGGAGCACCGGAAAAGCTTCAAGGTCTTCAAATTCTTCGCGCCGAGAATCAGCGTTCCGAAACACTGTCCGTTGTAGAGCTCCTTCAAGCAAACGGTCTTCAACGACGCCCCTGCGACACCAGGTCCGATAGCTTCCGCCGCCGCCGCGTCAGTGATTCCACGGAGGCGCTTCACGGAGAGCTCCTCAAGCGAGGCGCAGTTGTCGAGCACCGCGTTCATTCCTTTGGATCCGAACGTGCACGATCCGCACGAGAGTTTCTTCAATCCCTTGCAGTTCTTCGCAAACGCTTCCATTCCGGCATCGGTGAGCTCGCGGCACGCGCGGAGCTTGAGGCGCGTGAGGTTAGGGCACCGCTGCGAGATCAGCACGAGTGCGTCGTCGCGTATGCTAACGGATCTGCGGTCGCACTTCAGCGCCAACTTCGTCACCGAGTCGAACCGAGAGAAGAGAGACTGAATTGCAGGACACAGCTCTGATTCAGCGTTCAGAGAGAGACGGTGACGACTCTGTCCTTCGATCTGGAGCCACCGCCGGCAAACGAGCGAGCAGCGGTTCCGATCGGCCGAGCTAAGAAACTGAAACACCGAAGCCAAGCACTCGTTCGGAAGATCGGAGATGTAGTCGGTGGTTCCATCGGTTACCACCTCAACGCGGCGGTTAAGGCTGACGTATTCACCTGTGCCGGAGGAATACCCGACCATCGGCGAAACCGAGGCGGTGGATCTGGTCTTGGATATGTTGACGGAGCGGCTGCCTTGGTCCCTCTCGCGACGGCTAGCGACGGCGGCGGCAGCGGACACAGATTGGCCCATCCACAGCGGTTAGAGAAACAAAAGAGAAACAAACTGTCGAGATCTAAGGCTCTCACCGTTACTACCCTGGACGCTTCCTCAGAAGAACCACTCAACTACTTCACTTATCATTAACTAACTCTCTTCGTCGTTCTTCCTCTTCTTCTTCTTCGTTGGAATGAATTTTCTGGGTTCTGAGTTCAGTGGCGGATTTGAAATCAATATTCATTTCACCTTTTTTCTTCTGCGCTCTGTTTGGTGTGACCCGATAAAGTGAACAATTTTTTTAAAACGGTACTACCGCGACCAGTCATATATGATTCAATACGGTGTGGATGACTTCACCGGAATACCGTGGGGTCTCACTCGCTTTCGCGGCACGTGTGAGATAATTACACGACACGTGCGTGCAGACGCTGGTGTTTGTGCTCAAGGGTTGTTTGTTTGATTGTTGCAGGTAAGCGATGGAGACTCATGCAGGTTCATAGCACTGAAGACACGCATATTCAGAAAATAAAAAATTCTTTATTTTCTATCGAAATTATGTGGTAACATTATTCAAAAATAAATATTTCTAATAATTTTTTTTAATATGCAACCTATTATTAATTATAATTCATTATAAAATATAAATTACTAATATAAAAATTTTGAAATTTGTTGCCTGATTTTCTCTTAACTAACACACCGTCTCTACTACAAATATTGATTTCTAGGGTACTCTTTAAAAAAAATCATGATAATTTTTTGTATTATTTTTTTCTAAAAGAGAATGTTTTAAAAATAACTTTTTGGTATATAATTGATGAAAATTTATTTTCGTTTTTATATTTAAAATTCAATAAACTAGTATTTACCTTAAAAAATGTATGAATTTAATTATTTTATTAGTTTTATGATGATAACAAATTACTAATATTAAATTTAGTTTTTTATAAGATAAAAATTGTAATTAAATGTTATATTTAAATATAAATAATATTAGAATAATATATTTTAAAAAGTTAAAGAATCCAATTGATTAATTTAAAAATATAAAGATTAAAGATAAATTTTAAAAATACTTTTTCTATTAAAAACATGTTTTCAAATAAAAATAAGTATTAGTTAAAAAAATGCAACAAAATAAATCTAATAAATATTGGTTATTGTAAAAAAAATGTTTTTATTAATATTATTACGGGTAATATAAATAAAATATTCAAATTTGAATACTTGACCTTTAAATTATGAATTAAAAACGAAATTTAAACCATAAAAAATTACTTATTAACTATTCACAATTATTAGAGTTATTTATCAAGAAAACGAGTGACATAAATACAATACTTAATTTATGTCGAACATTTTTTTTCATTTTTTATTTATATATATATATATATATATATATATATGAAGAAAACATTAAATTTTTAATACCATTATTATTTTTTACTTCCTCTCTTAGGCAAATATTACTAATAATAATTTACTATAATATCTTTATAATATAATAAAATATAAAGATATAATTATAAAAATGAATATAATCTTTAGTTGTATAAATAATAAATAAATGAAAATTTTTTTATCATACAACTAAAAAGGATATTAAGAAAGTAATAATTATGTATTTAATGAATCAAGACATATTGATTAAAAAGATTTGGAATTGTTTGTTTTAATTTTAATTAAATTAAATAATATCTTCAAACAAGAGGTGGTAGAGAATGAAGTTTGAATAGGTTGTTAAATTAAGGGTCATCACGCCACGGCCAGTGGTACTAATAAAATAATTTTTAAGTAATAATAATAGAAGATTCTAACCGTTAGATTTGAATTTTCAAATACAAACACAATTTTGGTCTTTGCATAAATTTAATAGACCATGGACCGTCGCATAAGTAGACTTGTGATATGTTTATTTTATTTTTTAAATTGTTCGATACTATTTTAACAATTAAAATTTATTAAATTTCGAGAATTAAGTACTTAAAAAAAAAAAACTAAAACTAAAACTAAACTATAATCAAGATAGACTGTTTGATAAATACTATCAAATATAATCAAGGTACAAAAATATTTTAAAAAATAAAAATTGGTAAAAGGTATAATAATTTCAATCAGAACATTATTTTTTAGTTGGTGAGTGTACATAATAAAATTCTATTGTCATAAAATTAAAAAGTTTTAAAATACATTCTTTGTTAAGCAATTCAATTCAAATTCAGCATTAATATGTAGAAGAAAATTGTTCGTTTTCGGATAATAGGTTCCATGCAGGGGTGCTTGTTCATTTTTGTTATTGTAGATTATTAAAAAATAAAATTACGTATATAGTAATTATTCCTAACAAATTTATAAATATATGAAAAGAAATAAATTGAAGAAAGGATGAAATTCTCGAAAAAAAAAAAGCCAATGGAAGAAGGAAATCGAAATTGATTAAGTTGAATATTGAGACTAAAAGAATAATTAGTCAACGAGAAGTATAGTTTAAGAAAACAATAAATTGAAATGTATAAATCAAAAATATAAATTAAGATTAATACATGTGGTCAACTAAAAAATGCATATTATCAAGAGGAAATATCAAGTTGAATAAAAGGAGGTCGATCAAAGATATAAAATGGTTAATCGAAGATCTTGAATTGAAGAAGACTTGAGATTCAAGTTAGGGGTTGTGAAATCGAGAGAAATAGGATATCAAGACACGATTATGTAAACAAGAAAGAACAAAAGATCAAGAAGAAATTATGCAATCAAGAGATATGTAGAAGCGATTATAATTTCATTACATGACATGTGTGCTTATAAGAATTACGTGACAATGAAATGACTCGAGAAAATAAAGGAATAGTTATAGGAAAATAATTGTTTTGTTTTGTTTTGTTTTATTTTATTTTAAGTTTCTTAGCGATTACATAAGAAAAATATAAATAAAGTGAAATAAATGTAAATGAGGTGATTATCAAATTGTGTCAAGACTTGTATTTTGAAAAACACTGTGAATATAGACAAACATTTTTAATGAAATTCTTTACATTTTGGATCGCCATCTTTATGGATTTTCTCTATAAATTTTTGTTTTATTTTTGGTAATGGGTTAGATTTATCTTTATGTTACTTACTTTCTCCCATATTTACTTTCCAATAATTTACTTGTTGTACTTTTTATCTTCCTCGCAATTTACTTTAAATGTTACAACTTATATTAAAAATCCAAATTATACACGAAAGGTCACTAATAGAAATTCATCTTATCTAAATTATTGAGTGATTAGTGGTAACTTAATTAGAATTCTCTAAAATTGAAAAACATTTGTGTTTGCTAGTCATAATTAAAAGAATTCACATAATGATTAAAATGGTTCATTGCGGACTTGGGTAATCGAACAATGAACCATTTTGCACTAAAAACAAATTGGCAGACCCAATGTCACTCCTAGTTGTTGATTAGTTTCTAGAGAATTGAATGAGAAATAATGGTATATGAGATTGAGAAGTGGTAGAGTAGTCATGGCAAGTCAAAATACACAGAGTTCTGCACTTAATTATGCATTAGTATATAGTTTTGCACCAAATATTACCCATCAAAATAATGAGGGACAAAATATAGGTATTAGGCATAATAGTGTGAGTGAGAATATTCAAGACAATATTACTGATAATAACAGTAGTCAAAATAATCAAGGAATATCAGTAATAAAACCAACAAATAATCTCGTAAATAGTACTTATGTCGAACCACATGTAAAAATGAATAGACCTATTATATTAGGAGGACATAATACAGATGGAAGCATATTAGTGCAAAGAAATAGTCACGGAGTACTAGTAGCATAGTGATACACATGGAGAATGCCTCCATGGCAAGTAACCGCAAATTCTAGTGAATGAATGATCGAAGTTAAAATCAAATTAGATTGGGGAATGATAGGGAATACAACAAAAATTAACTTGATATAAAAAATATAAGCACGATAATATCAATTAGTTCATCAACAAATGGATGATAGTAATCATGAAATGATAAATCTATTATCTCAACAAATGACTACAATTTTAAACCCTCTAGTACAAACTATAGCTGATAGTTTTCCAAGATTATTCAAACAAATGGTGAGGATAAGAGATGTTCTTGTTATTCCTATAAGGAATAACTTAGAGAATGATAATTTACAGGTAGGAAATAACCAAGGTGAACATCAAGGACGAAATAATATTCAAAATGTTCAAGGAAATAAAAATCAACTAAGAAATATTTGAATGATCAATAGGGGCCAAGATACGAATCAAATTGTATAAATGTGGGATAATACATGTAGGAATAATCAAAATAATAGAAATTATCAACATAATGCTTATAATCAAATTGTAGGACATTGGAATAATCAACCTTATATGCGGATGAGATTGTATAATTAACCATATTTTGTTTCATTATTTGCTGATTTTATTCTTGAAGCTAAGCTTCCCAGAGGACAAAAAATACCAAAATTTGCAAAATTCTCAAGTGATATTGGGGAATCCACTGTTGAACATATAACAAGATATCAAATTGAATGTGGAAATCTTTTAGCAAATGAAAGTCTAATAATGAACTATTTTCCTAGCTCTTTAACAAAAATGCTTTTACATGGTCTACCACACTTCCTCTTTAACTAGGCATAATTAGAGAGGAGTTTTCATGAACAATTCTTTAGAGGAGAAACACAAGTTAGTCTAATTGATTTAATGAACATAAGAAGATATCACAATAAAAATATTGATGATTATTTGAATAGATTCAGGCAAATGAAGTCTAGATGTTTCACATAAATACCTGAGAGTGAATTGGTGAGAATGATAAGAGTAAAGTTAGAATTTTCAATAAGGAAAAAGTTAGTTAATTTATCTTTGAGAGATATGGCTCAATTAGCTAACAAGGTTCGAAAGATCAATCATATATTAAGTACAAAAAAGAGCAATATCATAAATTTGGGAAGGTAGTGAAAAAAAGATAAAATCGGATATATTGGAGTTAGTACATTTAATAATGA